ATAATCCAGCCAGTGATCCATCCATTTTCTGCTGCTTATCCGGGGTCAGGTTGCGGTGGCAGCAGGCTAAGCAGGGTATTCCAGTCGTGCCTCTCTCCAGCAACATTTGCCACCTCCTCCTGGGGGATCTTGAGGAGTTCCCAGGGCAGGTGGCATATGTAATCCCTCCAGCGAGTTGTGGGTCTACTTCGGGGTCTCTTCCCAGTTGGACGTGTCCAGAGAAACTCCAAAGGACGGCGCCCAAGAGGCATCCTAATCAGATGCCCGAACCACCTCAACTGACTCCTTTTGACATGAAGGAGCAGCGACTCTGCTCTGAGCTCCCTCCGGACGAGCTCCTTACCCTATCTCTAAGGCTGAGCCCGGCCACCCTGAGGAGGAAACCCATTTCAGCCACTTGTATCAGCGATCTCATTCTTTCGGTCACTATCCAAACCTCATAACCATAGGTGAGGGTTGTAACAAAGATCAACTGGTGAATCAAGAGCTTTAACTTTGTTTCCTGCAAAATGTATTTGCTGTTGCAGTTTAGTTGTATGCAATCGTAATTTCTAGGAGACATGGTTGCATCCTCTCATGCACACTCTCTCTGTTGCTCCCTTCTTCTGTTGTTTCTTTTCTAGCATCTCTTTTCTACATCAAAACATAAAATCAAATTCCTATGCTTAGAAAATCTATGCCGTGTCCAAACTGCATATAATCCTAGTTGGGAAAAGGGTCAGAAAACCAGGACTCATGTTGACCCACTCAGACCAACACTGTAAACCTGAATCACTGTGTCAATAGCAGCCGTAACAGCTGAAGGTCAGCGTTGCCTGAAGGAAAACACAGTGAGAGATGGTGAGAAAGTGTGAACTTCTGCAGTGGTTTTGTTTGGTTGGTTTTGAGTGTTGGGGAACAATGTTCTGGTCCTTGTGTGTGTGTGTGAGAGTATGTGTGTATGTCTGAGAGTATGTGTGTATGCACTAGAGGACAGTGTAATATTGTTTTGGAGCCTTGTGGTTGGGACGGAGCTAACACCTGAGTGAACCTGTCACTGCAGACACATTGCTTTTTCAGCTCCAGCGATTACACTGCACCCAAACACACTCAACATTTTTGTGGGTGGCTCTTTGTACGTGTGTGAATGTGTGGGTATGTGTGAAACAGAAGGGAGAAGTGTGTTGCTTGTGCATTGCCTGCGCGCATGTGTCTGTGAGTGTGAGAGAGACAGGAGCAGAGTGTGAGAGTGACAGAGCATTGTGTCTCTGTGTGTAAGTGTCTACACTTTTGCTGAATTTTAAGTTTCTCCCTGGAAAATGTGAAATAGGGCTACTGATACTGTGTCCTTTCAGGTTAAACAAGTTGTACTGATGGGTGTGTGCACACATACAAATACACACACATACAACATGGTGGACCTCACCAAAAAATTAAGGAATTCTCATTAATTCAACTGGGGAAAAAAACGTGGACAGGGACTTGACTTGACTGATGAGAGGGTGGTTGGAGTGACAAAGAAACAGAGTGATACTTGTTGCAGAAACATAACTTATAACTTATCTTATAACATAACATAACTTATACTTTATGTCGCATTCATGTCATATTTGAGTTAACTTTGCCTTAAAACAAGCCGTCAGGACATGCGTAAATTTGTGATGTCACAACAAAGCAGTCATCACTCTCAGCTGTGCCCCAAGCCCAGCTCACCTGGACCCACCATCCAGACTTGCAGGATTTGGTTTCTCTGAGTGTTTACCTGTAATCTACTATATTTTTGTTTGATCACTCAGAATACAGTCAGCCAATCAGAAGAGAGGCTCAGAACCTCTCCTCTGATTGGCTCACAAAACTGTTTTTACTAGAGCTCCAGAGAGAAACCTGAGCGAGGAGATGTAAAACCACATTGAGATTGTTTTTGGTGCTTAAAACCACAAATATACCTTCTTATGGATCAACACTTTAAATAAAACACAGAGAAAGTGTGAAATATAGGACCTTTAATCAAAGTGTTTTTGTTGCCTAAACCTCTGTTGCTCTGATGTGAACCCTAGTCTTTGGTGTGTCTGTGACAGTCGAGCGCTTGTACGCCCACCATCCACCACAACCTCCTCTGAGCAACTCCACTGCTGTTAATAAATGTAGCACTTGAGGCATTGAAAAAATATGTTGCTTCTGAACATAATACAGCCAGTGATTTTGTTTCCTACAAAACATATTTGCTTTTGCATTTCACTGTCTCTGAAACATAATATTTCTAGCAGACAGGGTTGAATATAGAGTTGGTTATACAAGTGCCTGAAAGTCAAACATTAATGCCTCATGTTTGCCAAAGTCCATCATTCAAGAGTAATTAAACTTTTGGATATGGATTATTGGATATGCTGCTATATTGTCAATGTGCAGTGCAGTCATAAAGGCTCCTGAGCTGTTGCCTGAACGTGAGAATCTTTACCATCTCTACCTTCCATCCCTTGTGACGTAAACGTGGCATTAATAATGGGTTCTATAACATGAAGACATGTCATGAGACATGAACACCTACAGTACGATGAAGTCCTGCGACCTACAACCCAAAACGTAGCTCAACTCATTGACTTGGGGTCCAGGTGGAGCCATTTTGTTGTGTGTATTTTCAGGCTCTGGTTGAGTTCACTGGGTCATTTTCAAATGTAATGAATTTAATGAAGTGGACTCTCTGTGGATCTCCCTCTCTGTTACTCTGTGCCATGAGAAAAGAGCAGCTTGCCACTGCTCACTAACAGCCAGTAATGGATGAAATAAAGCAAAGACATTAAAACGGAGCCACAGGTAGGCCTGTGCATTTTAGGAACATAATGACTAGCTTGTACGATTGCGTCTGCTCACAGATCTGTTCTGAATTATGACTGTTTGAACCATCAAGTGCAGATGGATAAAAAATAAAGAAAGTTGTGGATTTTCACATTCATCAAAGCTACCAGCTTACCACTGGTTTACTAAGCTAATGACGGGCTGGGGGCTACATAGAATTGAGATTATTCACTATAATTTTGTATTTGTAAGAAAGTCTTCCATGTGACAAAAGCAGGAAAATAAGAGCACACCTTTTAAAAGTTGAAAGTAGGGACGACTATAATTTGATGTCAGGTTGGGTTTGGTAAAAAACGGAGGGGCAGACAGACAAATCGAGACAGACCAAAGAAAAGCAAGTATGATGGAGGGATGTGGAAGAGGTCAAGGAGAGCTGACACCCATCAGTTCGCTCTCTTTAATCTATCTGTGTAAGACATCGCTCAGTCCCTTCTCCCTCGATACACACACACACACACACACACACACACACACACAAAGACACAAAGAGACACGCCAGATATCACAGACCCTCAGCAATTGGCTTTGTCATGACCTTTAACCCCTATAAATCTGTGCGTGTGTGTACGTGTGTGTGTGTGTGTCTGTAAGACCAGGCTGTAAAATGTCGACTCAAAAATCAATTTACAGCTGCTTACCTACTCTCTTTCTAATTCATGTCCACTAGCTGCTGCTGTGCGTGTGTGTGTGTGTTTGTGTGTGTGTGTGTGTGTGTGTGTGTGTGTGTGTCTGCGGAGGCTGTTACAGGGATTTTTTTAAAAAATAGAGAGATTTTTCAGTCCCTAAACTGTATCTTAATTATGTTCAGAGCACCTTTATTGATGCTGTGAAACCGTGTCGACTGTGTGTTGAATGTTTATCTCCAAAATCCCACCCAGGAGACCTTTTGTGTTCCACTCACTGTGAATTGTAAGTGGGTATATTTCACTGCTATCTTGACCGGGGAAAATGTACTGTCACATTTCAGATAGTGTTTTTCTTTTTTTTTTTCTTTTTTCTTTATTTAAGACCCGCTGTTTTTCTTTTGCTCTGTGTGCAACAGCTTGAAGTGGCAGAAACACAACATTGTATTGCTTTGTGTGGACATTTTAATTTGTCATAGACTTTTTTTAGTCATTTATTCGGTAACTCATTCTGAAGCTGACCACAGTCCTTCGCTACCGAGGGCTTGACTTCCACATACAGCGCCAACTCTAACTATGACATAGCTGTCTCAATTTGTGTGGTGATAAATAATAGAGTGGGAGGTGGCTCACACTAGCAGCAGATAGAATCAGGATGTCTGACAGGCAGGGAGGCAAAGCAGGTAATGGCAGTCTACACAGTTATGAGGTCATGATGTGCAGAAGGAATCCAAGTTGTCAAAATGACATGCAGACAAATTTCTGCATGCAGGAAATCAGAACATGGATACAGAAGTGGAAGTGAGGGAAAGGAGATTTAGTAGATGGAAGATGTATATTTTGCATTAGTTGCATTAGTTTTCAAGGTAGAGAGTGAGAATCTAAAAGTGGTTAGATTATGGAGATTTTAATTACATATTATTATTTTTATGGTTTTGTGATATTACATTTACAACACACTACACAGATGGTAGAGGCCACACAGGCTGATCTTTCAACTCACTGATTGCTCAACTCACACATCATTGGCACATTTTGATGATGACGACACATCATGTGGGTTTCTTTCCCCTGAATTTAAGGCCATTTACCGTTATCTGTGACTGAGAATTGTTCTATCAAGAATAAGTGGACATGAAAGTTGTGTTGACCCAGATTGCCGTTGCTATCGTACACTGCACTTTACTTCCAAGGGGTTATCTGCCAATCTTAAGATGTGGCCAGTTACTGTGCTATTGTCTTCCTCAGATGGAAGATTTCTGTACATTTTACTTTTCATTTTGTGGCACAGTAGGTGTCAGCAATTTAGCAATCATTGCTGAATGCATCTACAATGTATTTCAAAATAACAAATGTCTGTTGGTCCTGCAAATGAGAGAGGAGGGAGGATGTTTTTGCAGAAAAGACCAATTATAATTTGGGTGTTCACAGGAAATGTGTGTAACATCCGTATTGTGTTTGTGTATCAGTTGCCTACAAATCATCCTATAAAGACAATTACCATATCAGAATCTTACTATCAACCTCTCCCTGTTTTTGTAGATTGGAAAACCCGTCATATGAGGTGATGCAGCTGGACTTTGAGGTGGATAACGTGATCAACCTGGTGCCAACCCAGACTCTACACTGGAACGTGGAGTACCCGGCCGGCACACAGACAATTTCCAGGCAAACAGAGAAAGTCTCACACCTCTACATCAGCAACGCTGACATACAGGGCATCGTACCGCTGGCTGAGGTAAGGGATGTCTTGACAGAGACAGATATCTGTCAGCATACACACTGACATGCCCAGCAGTGCACATTTCTTATCCTGGAGCAGACTCCATTTCTCCCCGTTTCGTTTCCTCCTCCTTCTCCTCCTCCTCCTCCTCCTCCTCCTCCTCCTCCTAACCTTCCTGCTGACACCCCCAGCCCATCCCCTTCCTCCAGGGTGATCAAAGCTGTAAAGGTCAGCTTGTTTACCCCCTCCCGTTGCTACAAGCCTCCTGGTCACACAGACACAGCAGGTTTCGCCCTCACAGGGTTTCAACATGACAAGCGGCCTCACAAATATAGACACACAACCACGCAGGTACAGCACATATGAACATGCACGCAGACCCACACACTGAGAACCCCAAAGTGCAATGCAAATTCATACACACAGACTCACATTTGCAATTGCAATCATGCACAAAAATTCCCAGACACACCTACCTTCATGCACAAATGCGTCCCCTGTGCATGTGTCATGCTGGCAGGTGTCATTCCTGGTGAGACTCAAAAACATAAATGCCTCTTTAGATCTTAAAAAGCTGCTTTCCATAACCGAACCGCAACCTTCATTTTTGACACTTTGAGAATCACTTACCAAGAATTTTTTTAGTGCACAACAAAATGAATAAAACCTGAAATATAGTTATTATTTCCTTACTACTGAATCATGAGATGTAATCAAATTACCAATAACAACACTTAAATGCAACTTATCTAAGAAAGGTATGGCTAGCATGTGCTTTAAGGCAGGGGTTCTCAAACTCTTTCACATCAAGGACCCCTAAACTGACACAAATTAGACCAAAAACTCCAATCTGATAAGATTTATGCTTTTAGATGTTTTATGATCGAATGTGTTTGAAGCCCATGACCAAAATAGTCACACATTCTGTCATTGTGTGACTTATGGATGGAATTATAGTGAAAATAAATGATTCCCCTTATTGCTGGGGACCACCAGGAACCCCCTGAAGGACCTCTGGGGGTCATGGGAACCCAACTTTGAGAACCACTGTTGCAAGGCACATTCTGCTAATATTCTACCCATAACATTAAGCCCCTGTGATGAAAAAAAAACAAACAATGGACCAACCCATTAAAAAAAGCAATGTATACACTTAATGCATAAAAAATCTTGAAATGTTTAATTCTAGGCTGCAGCATATGAAAATAAAACAGCTTCTAACTAAAATAAGATAAAAATTGAACTTTTATGACATGCAAATGTCATAAAAGTTCATGTCCAGATTTCCCTCAAGGGAGAAAAACCCATGAGGTTAAATTTAAAGCTTTCTGACTGTAAACCAGAACAACCCTTTACAAAAGAATAAAGTGAAGGAAAAGATTACTTTAAAACTCTTCATGAATCAGTAGCATTTCTAATCAGATAAAACCCCACCATTACTTCATAACATTCCCAGATCAAAACTGACACATCCCTAAACAGACACCGCTGCAACGAAGAACCTCGGGCTAAAAAGTGAGGAGGATGCTGCTTTTCAAAATGCTCCCTGTTCCATTACCACTGAGGTAGAGCTAATCTGGCCTGATAGCCCTCCTTCAAACAGCAAAGCCCTGGTGAGAAAACCCAATTTTGTTCAGGGCTTCTGCAACCCCCTGTCTTTTGCACACAGTGGAAAAAGCGAGCTTGAAACCATCATTTCAAATAGCAGTGCTGTTTGGATTTTTGCTACCTTTTTTTCTTTTTAAATGGGGGCGGTGTGAATGGAGCTCTGGGATGAGTAATGCTATATCTAATTCTCCTGTATTCATGACAACAAAAGGGTTTGAATGTATCTTTTCAGTTAAGATATACAGAATGTACTATATATAGAGTACAATGAGATCAATAGTTCCTGTGTGACCCTTGAGCTTTAGGTGTATTAATTTGTAAATTCACAAACCTGGAAACTCATGGTTCCTGCATAGATCTTACCGGTAAAACAGAAGGGAGGTATAAAGGGAAGATCATTTGAGATGGGTGAAAATGTCTTGGTAGGGACAGTTCAGCAACACATTGACATTGTGGAGACATGTCCCTGCTGCTCACACCCAAATCTCCACCCATAGTAATTTCCATTGTGCAAAACTTGTTTTTGTTCCATCTCAGAAAAGAATTGATTTCATCCTCTTCTTCAGATTTGTTATACAGATGAATAAAAAGTGGTTTATTCAGTGATTTATTTCGGTGGAAATTATGTTTACCACCAACATCTTCTTCACTCCAGATATTCAGCTTTCCAATACCGCACAGACGTCTCAGGGAGGCGGTTAGGCTGGATGATGGACATACAAACATAGGGCTTTTGTTCCATATGGTTAGGTGTAGGCCACGAGAAGTTAACACAGGTCAAGGGTAGGTGAAGGTCGTAGTTTTGCTCAAACACTGAGAAAGTAAAAATGTCTTATCTGATGTTATCATTGATTTTATCAGTGTTTAAGCAAGTTAACAGTGTTTCCCCTTAGTTTAACCAAGTGCTTTGAGTTGCCAAGACATAGTAATAGTCCAGTGTTAAACATGGTTTAATGCAACAAGTGAATATTGTAGGGAACATGTTACAGATATGTTTGTTAAAAGCCTTTTGGTACAAGGTGGTACAAAACATAATTGTTTCTTTCAAGATGTATTTGCTGTTGTAGCGTATAAACATGTATTCTGCTACTCCTGAAGCCACACACACACACACACACACACACACACACAAATACACACAAAAATACATATATTGTTAAATACACACCCAGTTTCACTTTGTCTCCTATGATATCTTTTTTTTTTGCCTCTCTCCTTTGGGTAAAAGCATCAAAATAGCTGTTATTACAAATTATTAGGGCCTCCTGATTTGTTTACCAGAACCACTGACCAGGTGTTGGTTGGTTGTTTAAGGTGCCTGCTATTGAGAGGGGGTCTCTGTGAAAAGTCACTGAGATGAAAGCTCCAACTCTTCTGGGTCTTTGGGAGAACGAAGGAGAAGGAATGAAATTATGAGCTGGTATCTTCAAAGAGACCTGGATGTAAAAGCCTTTCACAAAGTCTTGCCTCCTCCTTCTCAAACAATTCCACAATGGAGGATTGGAACGAAACTTCAACATCACACGTGCAAAGCATGTAACAAAATGTGGGATCTTTACAGCTGTCACATATTTAAATAGCCAAAAAAAACTCACATAATGCCATCAGGAGTACTCAGCGTTGGCTTTGAAACATCCTCTCACCGTCTGATCTGTTTGAGTGATTCTACTCCGTCTCAGCCCATCATCCACCATCTCCCAAATCAAAAGTCAGCTTATCAACAGTGCCATTGTGGTAGTGCAGTAGGTTCTCTCTTTACAAGGCAAAAAATGAAAACCAGAACACTGCCTGTCATTACCGAGCACCTCTCCGACATTTTCCTCCTAATTCTGCATATCCATTAAGGTTCTGGTCTCTTGGCTGAGCGGGAAAAGAAAGAGGCCCTCTTCAGGAAGCGAGGAATTATTAGGAGTAATTTGTCTCCTGCGGGGGCTGAAAAATTGGTTTCATCTTTTAGAGAGGAGAGGAGAGGTGAGGAGAAGAGAGAGGGTAAAGAGTTAGGGAGAGAGGGAGGGGGGTGAGACAAAAAGATAGACTGACAGAAAGAGATGGACAGAAGTGAGATTTGATCATGGGAGAATTAGATTAGACTATTCATTTATTGTCAGCTGCATGGTTTCATGTGCGTTGTCTTTGCTAATAAAGACAATAACATGACTACGTTGTTAACATTACTCCATTTAGTGACAGATTTTCTCATAACGCTCTAATCTGGCACACCGTTTTTGCAAATAGTCAAACAAAAATGACAAGAAAGAAACACAGCGATATTAACAAAATAATCAGCTACAGTTTCTAGCCCTAAACTGGCAAAATACATAGAAAGGTAATTGCATTGTACCACACCACACTGTGCTGTGTCATTTCCTCCTATCAGGTAATTCATGGAGCCTTTGCTGAGTAGCAGCAAAGTGGGGAGTTTGAGTTCTTTTGCCTAAGAACAGTGGGGTGGAGCAGGAGAAATGCAAACTTGTCAGAGAAGTGAAAATGTGGATTTCCTGCTCTGAAAAGTGGAGTCGCCGTCACCTTTTGAATCGCAGTGCCACAGCAGCAGCTCGTCATTGAGCAGAATTGATTCTGTGCCTGCTTTTCAATCATGGCAGTTTCCTTTTATTTAACCCAGACACCCCTCTCAAATTTGACTCTGAACATTTTTTAAACATGATGAAGCTCGATTCATTTTGCGCTGCAGCTAAAAAAGGAAGCTCAAATACACCCCATTCATAGTTTCATGGAGGTAGTTAATCCACCACCATTTGCCACACACAATAAACAGCTCCGGCAATTCCACTGTTGTTTTTAAATGCAATTGTTTTGTCCTGCTCTGACTATATTCCTATTGGAGTCTGTGAATTTTTTATTACAGATTGCATTCTCAGTGGCTGCGGATATCACACAGTCTGTCTGAAAGAGCCACAGATTATGTCAGCATGTCCCTAGATGGGATATAACCAAAACTAATTGTCAATGGCCCAGTCGCATGAGTTGAAAAGTTACAGTATTAGTTGCATAGTTTAATAGCGTACTGCAGGGATGATGTTTTTTTTTTTTGGCCAACCCAGACGTTAGCATTACAGTGATAAAGAGAATCGAGTTTTTCCATAAGATTTTGGATTATTGCAGAAAATAAGCTCATGACAAACAAATGTTTATACAGGTTTTTGTTCAGCAAGACAGTCCTAGCCTAAATACAAAGGAGTAAAAAGCTAATGTAAGGTTATAAACGAACTACACCACGGTCACATGACTTCAGCGTCACCACTGCTAAGCTTCCAACTCATAGTTTGGTTTACCTCCTCTACTAAAGCCTTTCCTCTTACAAAGTTAGTAATAGTTTGTAGCAGTGTGAGTCTAAATACAATGAGGCTGTTAAGGTGGACTGTTGGGTAGATTGGATTCTGTGTTCA